ACGGAGTTCCGGCTGGCTCCTGAGTTGGCCACACCCAGCAGGAACTCGTTAGCATAATAGGCCACACCCAACAGCAGAAACTCATTAGGATTGGCTACATTAGGGGTGTGTGGCCTTACATGCAAAGAAGTTCCTGCTACAAAAAAAGCCCTGGGTTTGGACAACAAACAAGGTAAACAGAATAAGAAGCAAAAGGTGGGTGTGGCTGGGTGACCACACTTCTGGTAACATGGCCTAATGGGCTGTGCTGTCAGGGGTGTGGCCTAATATGCTAATGCATTTCTGATGTTGGGTGTGGCATATTATGCTAATGAGTCTCTGATGTTGGGTGTGGCTTATTACGCTAATGAGTTCCTGCTGGGCTTTTTCTACAAAAAGAGCCCTATCTGGATCTATCTATCATCTAGCTAGCTAGCATTTATACCCCACCATTCTCCCCAGTGGGGGCCCAAAACAGCTTACATAGCTCTGCTTGCCTCCATTTTATCCTCACAACCACCCTGTGAGGTTGGTTCGGCTGAGCATGTGTGATTGGCCCATGGTCACCCGGCAAGTTTCCATGGCACAGTGGGGATTCGAATCTGGGTCCTCTAGACCCTAATCTGACACTCTAACCACTACACCACGCTTATCCATCTTCTGCACCTCCCCAGCTTTTGAAGGCGGGCATCCAATCTGAATAAGAGCCTCTGAGACGGGGCCCTCCCTGCCCAGTAGCAGACAGCTGGGGGGGGGAGGTTCTAAATTAGGGGGGATCCTGCATCCTGGCCACTGGCGAAGGATGGGGGAGGGGTAGCATTGCCAGATCCAGGTTGGGAAACTCCTGGAGATTTGGGGGTGAAGCCTGGGAAAGATGGGGACCTCAGTGGGGCAGTGTTCCCTGTAAGCTGAGTTAGTGTGAGCTAACTCACAGTTTTTTAGCCTCCAGCTCACACTTTTTTTGTCTTAGCTCAGGAAGGAGGGCTCCAGAGCAAACTCATTTATGCCGTAGCCAAATCACTCGCTCACAACTGTAATGCCAGTTGCTCACAAAGTAGAATTTTTGCTCACAAGACTCCACAGCTTAGAGGAAGCATTGCAGTGGGGTACAGTGCAATAGGTGGAGCTGCGGTGGCTCAAGTGGTTAAGACGCTGAACTGCGGGCTGTGGAAGGTCAGTAGTTCAGCAGTTCGAGACCCGAGTGTGCCGCATGACGGAGTGAGCTCCCATCTCTAGTTCCAGCTCCTGCCAACCTAGCAGTTCAAAAGCAAGAAATTTCAAGTAGATAAATAGGTACCACTTCGGTGGGAAGGTAACAGTGTTCCGTGCGCCTTGGTGTATAGTCATGCCGGCCACATGACCACGGAAACATCCTCGGACAGCGCTGGCTCTTCGGCTTGGAAACGGAGATGAGCACCACAACCCTAGAGTCGGACTCGACTGGCTTTCAAGCAAGGGAAACTTTACCTTTTACCTACAGTGCAATAGAGTCCACCCTCCAAAGCAACCCTTTTCTTTAGGGGAGCTGATCTCTATAGCATGGAGATGAGCTGTAATTCCAGGGGATCCCCAGGTCCCACTTGGAGACTGGCATCCCTATTCAGGGCTATTTTTGGGCAGGAACGCACAGGAACGGAGTTCCGGCTGGCTTCTGAGTTGACCACGCCCAGCAGGCAGGAATGCATTAGCATAATAGGCCACACCTAACAGCAGAAACTCATTAGGATTGGCTACATTAGGGGTGTGTGGCCTAACATGTAAAGAAGTTTCTGCTACAAAAAAAGCCCTGGGTTTTGACAACAAACAAAGTAAACAGAATGAGAAGCAAAAGGTGGGTGTGGTGACATGGGGTGTGTGTGGCCTAATATGCTAATGAGCTGTGATGTCAGGGGTGTGGCTAATATGCTAATGAATTTCTGGTGTTGGGTGTGGCCTATTACGCTACAAAAAGAGCCCTGCCTATTCTGAATTCATAATGAGCCAAGATTTGGGGGGGGGGGGTGTTTCCTGCCTTTTTTTGTTCATTTCGTAAGCTATGTAGGTCCTCATTGTGGAGTCAAGTGGGGTAAAACTACCTAAGTAAATAAAGCCAAAATCAGTACATGTCCAATTAACGGCAAAAATATAAGGAAATGGAATGAAATAAATGATGGGCATTCATTGGTCCTTTTCTTTTTATCCAGACAAAACAAAACATACTGGGGTTTGATGAGTTCATTGAGCTTCATTCATCTGGAAAGGAATGCACATTCCCGAGCCACAGTTATGCAAAAGAGTCAGAATTCCAGGATAAATTATGAAAAACAAGTGTGATTTCTATAAGTCTCCAAATTCTAGCTTTTTGGGGAGGGGGCACAGTGCTGTGCTTTTAGTTTGGTGAAGTTAACTGCAGGCAAACGAACAAATGGCCCGATTGCTTTTGCAAGAGCCGAATGCCGGGACGACACTGAGGCGGAGAGTGTTTTTCCAGTTTGAGCGCTGCATTTTTTTGCTCAGGGAAGGGTGTTTTTATGAGCATGATAACAGTCGGTTTCACAAGGCGAGTGACTTTCCAGATTCCAGAGAGAGAGAGAGAGAGAATGAGAATGCGGGTTTAACCAATGAAACCCTGCAGTCAGAGATGCTGCAAATATCCGTGATTGCTTTCCATCCCAAAGCAAAACTAGCTTATTCAGAATCATAGAGTTGGAAGGGGCCACACAGGCCATCTAGTCCAACCACATCTAGTCCAACCCCCTGCTCAATGCAGGATCGGCCTAAAGCATCCCTGACAAGTGCTTGTAGGGTTGCCAGCCTCCAGGTGGGGCCTGGGGATCTCCCACTTTTACAACTGATCTGCAGATGACAGAGATCAGCTCCCCTGGAGAAAAGGGCTGCTTTGAAGGGTGGGCTCCGTGGCATTGGACCCTGCTGAGGCCCCTCCCCTCCCCAAACCCCGCCCTCTCTATGGTTTTCCCTCGGATGGTCGGTTCCCCGCCCCCAGCCTGCCCGGCGTGCCCGCATCACTTCCGGGTGACGTGGATGCGGCGCGCGCTCCAGCCGCCAGCCGGGAGTCCCCCGCTGCGGCTCAGTTCTCACTTGGTAACCTTAGCAAAGTCAGAACTAAATAACAACCTATGGTTATAAGGTCAACAGTTGTAAAGCAATAAATATGACCGAATAGCAGATAAATGTCTAAAGGTGTCTTTTCTAATTGTGGGAAGGAAGTGTTTTTCCAGCCGCTACTTGAAAACTGCCAGTGAAGGGGAACCCTCAATTGTTCCTTTCCGCACTCGGATCTCATCCCTGGTTTTATCAGAGTCCAACTCGCGACACAGTACCTTGCATTTATCCCTGGTTATCACAGCATCCGTCTATCCTGGGACAAGTGTGGGGCAAAACCGGGGTGACCTCAGTATAATGTGGAAACAAAAAATACCCCGAGATAATTACAGGGGTGATCTCGCGTGTAGTGTAGACTGTAAGTTTGGAGACAGGGTTGAACCAGAATTTAAAGTCTAGTGTGGAAAAAAGCAATGGCAGTCTTTGGCATTGTGACGCTTCAAGTGAGCAGCCTCACTGTTTTTGCCCCCTTAATTAAATCAAAACCACTGTTGACCTTATAACCCTAGCTTGCTGCATATCTTAAAACAGGGGTGTCAAACTCATCTGTTATGAGGGCCGGATATGACATAAATGAGATCTTGTTGGGCCGGGCCACGTGTGTAATAAAATGTAATGCCAGGTAGCGGAGATATAAACTTTATAAAGGACACAGACACAAAGGGTTTTTTTTTTTAAACATGCTTAAAACATCAGCACTCTTGCAATATTTTGTTTATTTAACAGTGTCTGATAAGTGACACCTCTTGCTGTGAATTATTGCATCAAAATGTCTGTGCTGTTGCAATCCTGAGTATGCTGTTCAGGTTTGTATCTGTAAGCTGCAAACCTATGATGACGCAGCAGCAGCAGCAGCAGAACTGGAAGAAGAAGCATAAGACAGCCAGTTCCACTGTGGGCATGAAAGAAACCCTCCAGGGGCCTGATCCGGCCCCCAGGCCGCATGTTTGACACCCCTATCTTAAAACATCTTCATCATGTTACATGCTAATTTGAACTGCGACCTTCCATTCCAATGTATTTGAAAAAGTGCTCGTACACACGAAAGCTCATGCCTTGAACAAACCTTTGTTGGTCTTAATGGTGCCACTGGACTCTACATTTGTTCTACTTCTCTCCGGGACTTGTTTGCAATGCAGATCTGAACCAGGGGCCTGGTGGTGGGAAGTGCCATTGAGTCGCAACTGCCTTATGGTTACCCCTCAGGGGGTTTTCAAGGCAAGAGACATTTGTAGGTGGATTGCCATTGCCTACCTCTGCATTGTGACCCTGGACTTGAGATCAACAGGTAGTCAGGGGTATCAGCTTACAAGTGTCAAAGTTCCCTTCTTCAGATCAAAGTAGGAATGGAGGTCCCTGAGCCCTTATATCCCAGTCAGAAGGTGGGATCTAAGAGCCAGTTTGGTGTCGTGGTTAAGTGCATGGACTCTATTCTGGGAGAACCGGGTTTGATTCACCCACTCCTCCACTTGCACCTGCGGCATGACCTTGGGCAAGCCGTAGTTCTGATAAGAGCTGTTCTTGAAAAAAGAGCAGTTTCTGTCAAGAGCTCTCTCAGCCCCACCTACCTCACAGGGTGTCTGTTGTGGGGAGGGAAAGGGAAAGGAGTTTGTAAGCGGCTCTGAGACTCCCTTGGGTAGTGAAGGGCGGGGTATAAATCCAATCTCTTCTTCTTCTTCTTCTTCTTCTTCTTCTTCTTATATCTTTTTGACCTTTAAGGTGCTGTTGGACTCAAATCCTGGAGAAGATGGCCACATTGGAGAGTGGACTCTATGGCGTTATATCCAGCTGAGGTCCCTCCGCTACCCAAATCCCCCCGTCCCCGGGCTCCAAATCTCCAGGAATTTTTCAGCCCAGAATCGGCAATCCTCATCAGCTCTCAGTGGTTGACAACTGAATTTCCCCCCCCCCCCCCGACGATGCTATTCTTTGTCATTCTCCAAGTGCTCTGTAGCCTCCTGATCTGGCTGTCACTCTACAGCGGCTTCCGGTTTTGGCAGAAACATCGCCCCTCGGAATGGAGCTGCCGGCTGGTCACCCTGGCCCACGGCTTGATCGTCACCTTCCTCTCCGGCTACATAGCTCTTGTCGACGGGCCCTGGCCTTTGACTCATGCAGGTACGTAAAGGGAGTTCCGTCTCTGGAGGGTACGGAGAAGACACAAGGAGTAGACTCACGTGCTGAGGACACGGGAGCAGATGACTGTACATCGCCCCCAAGGCCTGCCGGGTTACGATGCCTGAAATTGAAACCTGCTGAAACCCAGTAAAGCCTTACTGAGAATTAGGGTTGCCAGCTCTTGGTTGAGAAGTACCTGGAGGATTTGGGGGTGGAGCAGGGTTCAGAGAGGAGAGGGATTCCAGTAGGGTATAACGCCATAGATTCCACCTTCCAAAGTGGCCACTTTCTCCAGGTGAACTAATCTCTGTTGTAATCAGGGCGCTTTTTGTAGAAAAAGCCCAGCAAGAACTCATTAGAATAATAGGCCACACCCAACAACTTGAACTCATTAGCATATCGGGCCACACCCCTGATAGCACAGCTCATTAGCACATTAGACCGCACCCCCATGTTACCAGAAGTGTGGTCATCCAGCCACACCCACCTTTCCCTTCTTATTCTGTTTACCTTGTTTGTTGTCAAAACCCAGGGCTTTTTTGTAGCAGGAACTCCTTTGCATGTTAGCCCACACACCCCTAATGTAGCCAATCCTAATGAGTTCCTGCTGTTGGGTGTGGCCTATTATGCTAATGAGTTCCTGCTGGGCGTGGCCAACTTGGGAGCCAGCCGGAACTCCGTTCCTGTGCGTTATTCCTGCCCCAAAATAGCCCTGGTTGTAAGTAATACAAACGATAGGTAAAGGGAGTAAGTAATACAAAGGATAGGTAAAGGTAAAGGTTTCCCTTGCTCGAAAGCCAGTCGGATCCAACTCTAGGGGGGCAGTGCTCATCTCCATTTCCAAGCCAAAGAGCGAGTGCTGTCCGAAGATGTTTCCGTGGTCATGTGGCCAGCATGACTAAACACCACGGCGCACGGAAAGCTGTTACCTTCCCACCAAAGCGGTACCTATTTATCTACTTGCAATTTCTTGCTTTCAAACTGCTAGGTTGGCAGGAACTGGAACCAGAGACAGGAGCTCACCCCGTCATGTGGCACTCGGGTCTCGAACTGCTGAACTACCGACCTTCCAGTCCGCAGTTCAGCATCTAAACCACTTGAGCCACCGCAGCCCCCATACAAAGGATCAAACCATGCATAAATAACCAAAAAAATATTCAACGATCAATGGGTATAATAATCTAAACCTATATAAATAGAGCGGTGTCACGGGCTCTTACAAGCCACCACCTTTTGGACACCACTCTTATGCGGGACACTGCTAGCTTCGGGTAGTAGCGGGGACCACTTACCCACTGGTTTCGTTCTTCGTGATGAAACTCTCTTGGTTCACTCCAAGGCTCTTAAAACTGGCGGAAATTAGTGACCGGACTCCGTTGTTTATAAGAATAAAACGGCTTTACTGTGACATCTCTCATTTTCCTCCAGCACAACCTCAATCAGATACACGTTCCAAAGGTTCCAACAATTAAACCGCTCTCTGGGATTCTTCCCACAATGTGTCAGTTCCCAATGGCTGTTAGCCTCCAACCGCTCACAACCTCCTCACTCACTCTCCATCCTCCAACTCCCTCTCTGTCCGTTTTCTGCCCATCAACCTCCCAAACATTCCATCTCTCCACACTGCCCTATGTCTGCACATCGCTTTTCTCTAGGTGTTCCCTTTTTGGAATCCGTCACAAGCGGTTTTTCAAAAATACAACATAGTAGTCAGAAACCCAAAAGTACACGGTCCAGATACAAAAACAGTCCTATTGATCCACCTTCAGAAATAGTCCACGTCTAATTCCTCAAAACGTCCAAATAAAGATGTTTATAATTCCTCTTCACAAAGTCCTCCTCTTGTCACATGTGTATCCACTTCACAGCCCTGCCAGCTTTAAGTTGTCGCATCGCCTTGCTTCCTCAAAAGTCAAACAGCAAAACTGCACAGCTCCAGTATTGAATAATACACAGCATCTTTTTCATTCTTACTGTCAGAGGTCATTTCGGGGGGGAACGCGGGGGAATGCAGTTCCCCCAGGTGAGGTGCAGGGGGGGTGGGGCATATGACGAAGCCCCACCCCCTGCTTCCGGCCGCCCCGCTTCCAGCCCTCATTCAGCCAGGAGGAGGCAGGAGAAGAGGGAGGGTAAGTTGCTTCCTCCCCACCTCTCCCCACCCCTGCCTGCCTGGGGTAAGGGAGGGCCTTGGCGGGGCTTCCTCGCACTCCCGCTGGCCTTGCAGGTCCACCGCCGGGCCCCTGATGTCAGTGGGTGTGGCATATGCTAATGAGTTATGCTAATGAGTTCCCCTAGCTCTTTTTCTACGAAATGACCCCCGCTTACTGTTGTTGTTGTTCAGTCGCACAGTCGAGTCCAACTCTTCGCGAACCATGGACATAAGCCCGATTACTGAAATGTATCACATTTGATTGTTGAATATATTTTTCCTTATTTCGTTTGATGCTTTGTATCTTTCGTATTACTGACCACCTGGAAGCGGGCGACCCAACTGACTTTTGTGATTTGAGCTCTTATTAGATGACATCTTGTAAGCATCCGTTTGCCTTGTGTACAAGACACACACAAAAATGCAATTATGGAGAGAGTTAAAAAAAACTGGGGTGAGGCAAGATCTCAGCCAAAGAGTTCTATGTCCAACATTTCTGCAAAAATTCTAATGTGCCTTCTTCAGTCTTCATTGTTTTGCAAGATGTCCAGTCACCTTCAAGAGCACCGAATTAAAAATTTGGAATTTACTGCCACTGGAGGTAGCGATGCTCACTAGTTCAGACGGCTTTAAGAAAGAGGACTTGACAAATTCATAGAGCATTACAAACGTAAGAGAAGCCAGTGTTGCATCAGGCCAATGGCTCATCCAGTCCAACACTCTGTCACACAGTGGCCAAAAATACCAGGTGCAGGGGGCATTTCCTGCAGGAGCGCACAGGAGCGGAGCTCCAACAGTAAAGAGCCCAGGGGGCGGGCACATGCAACAAGCATGTGAGCAGCCCTCAGTCAGATCAAGAAGCAGCCAGGCAAGCTGCAGAGCTCCCCCCGGCCCCCTAGTCCAAAACAGTCCAGTGGCACCTTTAACACCAAGTTTTATTCAGGTACAAGCTCTCCCTCCTCTGTCAGGACCTATCTGCACATCCCCCCCCCCCATAGCTAGCAATGCAAAACAGTCCAGTGGAGCCTGAGTGGTGGGTGTTGCCTTCTGACACACTTCCGATGATGTCAGGGGGTGTGGCATATGCAAATAAGTTATGCTAATCAGCTCCCGCACCTCTTTTTCTACGAAATGACCCCTGACCAGGTGCCATTAGGAGGTCCACCAGTAAGGCCATCAACAGCAAATACTTATGATGCCTCAAAGGAGCCTCCTTGTTCAGATGCAGTGTACCTCTTCCTCACCCCTCCCCACTCCTGTGGAGGAGGTGAAAATCATCACCTTAGCTCCTTTGAAGAAGGGTGGAATAAAAACGGGAGAGAAAGCAAATGTGCCACATTTAAATGCCACTTCCTGGGCAGGGACGGCAACAGAGGGATGTTTTGAGATCTGACAGGCTTTCCAGAGGCTTTTCGTTGGCAGTGTTGGGAAAACAGGATGCTGGACCTGATGGTCTATTGGCTGACCAGATCCAGTAGGGCTATTCATACGTTCTTACCGCAGGGTTCACCAAAAGGACTTAGACTTCCAGGGGGAATGTGAAATGATTGAAACTTGAAATTTGGGAAGGGTTACCCCAAAACAATTCTAGTTGCAGCTCTAATTATTGGGGCGCGGGACTCCTCTGATTCCCCCCCCCCATCTTGATTGCAACTTACCTGGCTGCTTCTTGCTCTGAATGAGGGCTGCTGGGAGCAGGGGGTGGGGCTTGTTGCATGTGCCCGCCCCCTAGCCTCCTTACTGCTGGAGCTCTGCTCCTGTGCACTCGTGCAGGAAATGACCCCTGGTCCTCCTTAATTATACAAAAGTTTTAAGAGGGAAGACTCCTTTAAGTCTATTTTGAATAAGTGCTCAGTCTTCCTCCAACAGTGGTCCAGATATCCTCCGGTTTCAGTGTCTTCCTCAGGGAGTCTCTCTTAGTTTGGATATATGATTCTTTCTATGTATTAAGGCTTATATGATAAATAATATATGGTGAATAAATTGTAAAAAATATAAAACAAAAAAATATATAAAAATTATTTGAGATATTTTATAATTGCCTGTAGCATGGTATTTGCTGATTTTTGGTATTTCCTACTTACCGTGGGTCCTATTTTGGTTTTGTGAACTGCCCCTACCCCAGCAACCCTCTAGGTAAAGGTAAAGGTGTCCCTTGCTCAAAAGCTAGTCGAATCCGACTCTAGGGGGGCGGTGCTCATCGTTTCCAAGCCGAAGAGCCAGCGCTGTCCGAAGACGTTTCCATGGCCATGTGGCCAGCATGACTAGACGCCGAGGCGCACGGAACGCTGTTACCTTCCCACTGGAGCAGTACCGAAGCGGTGGCTGTTGTATGTTACCCATTCAGTCATGTCTGACTCTTGGGCAATTGTATGGGCCAGCTCTCTCCACGTTTTCTGATCTTGTAGTGTTTCTTTGAGTCATTCCATGCTCGGGCTGGTGTCGACTTTTATGGGGTCCAGCCGCCATGTTCTTTGGCCGGTTTCCTTTTGCCGCTAAACAATCCAAGCATAATTGCTTTCTCTAGTGGGTCCCTTTGGTTAACACCACTCCGTTCCTAGAATGTTGCAAGGTGGCTGTGACATTGCGCCCCCCCCCCCATTCCGCCGCTCAGTGGAGCAGGTGCAAGCAATGGAAAGGTGGGAGTTCCCCACACACACCCACACCGCAGGCAGCTGGCAACCTTCACTCCAGGTCTCACTCTGGCACTAGTTCAAGGGTTCCCACACCCGTGTCAGCCCAACCTTCCTCTACGCTTCGCTTCCTTTCCCAGTCCCAGAAGACCTCCCAGCCTGCCATAACTGTGTGCCCTTTCCCAGCATTAGCACAATAAATCATGGCAAAAGAGCAAAGATGTTACACAATTTGCGGCTATTGACAACTCAGGTTTCCTCGGCACAAAAGGAGAAGCTGCAAGAGGCCTTTCGACTCCTGCTGGGGTCTCAGTAACTTTTCCCCATGGTCTTTGGGCAATTTTTTTTTTTTTAAAGAGCACATTTCTGGCCCTTATCATATCCTTGAAAGTAAAGCAGGGAAGCTGAGGGGTATAATTCACCGGCACGGAAGCTCTATGCAATTTTTATAATATAGAATAATCAGTCAAGTTTTCCAGGTGGTAGATGAAAAGGCAGATAGCGACTTTGCCCAGAGGCTTAGTGAGGGCAGCCAGGCAGGCAGAGGGGAACCACTGAAGCTTCCCATTGGCTCCGTACCAACACCCAGCACAATAAAGCACATTCAGCCATATTGCCGGAGGGGGGAAAGCAGCAGGCAGCAGGTTTTATGGACAACAGCTCCTGAGCTAAACCTTTAGATGACTGAGAATACTTTGAACTTTCAAAAAGGTTGGATTTTAGTCATAGTGCTTAGAAGAACAGAGTCTCGTGAGGCCTTCAAGCTTAACACAGCTATCTAAGGGGCATATAGAAGACCACTTTACGTTTGAAGGAAGGGATAATCCTCCTGCTTTCGGCGGCAAAAAGACATTGTGCTAAATCTTGGGGAATATGCTATGATATATTTGGGTGAGTACCCATATTAGAACAGAAGAACATAAGAGACGCCAATGTTGGATCAGGCCACTGGCCCATCCAGTCCAACACTCTGTGTCACACAGTGGCCAGAAATACCAGGTGCCAGCAGGAGGTCCAGCAGTGGGGCCAGGACACTAGGAGCCCTCCCACTGTTGACCCCCCCCCCCCAGCACCAAGAATGCAGAGCATCCCTTGCCCCAGAGTCCCTATCTATACCTTGTGGCTAATAGCCACGGATGGACCTCTGCTCCATATGCTTGTCTAATTCCCTTTTGAAAGTGTCCCTGCTTGTAGCCGCCACCACCTCCTGTGGCACTTCCTTAGTCTGTAGTGTGTGTGTGTTGTGTTTGTGTGTGTGCGCGCGCACGTGCGTCAAGTAGGGTCACGTCACAGCCGACATGGCAATCCCGTTTGAGGTTCAAGGCCAGAGTTGTTTAGAGGCAGTTTGCCCTTGGCTGCCTCAGTACAGCAACCTGGGAATCCCTTGGTGGTCTCCCATCCAAGTTCTAACCAGGGCTGACCCTGCTTAGCTTCCGAGATCTGATGAGACTGGGCCAGCCTGGGATATCCGGGCCAAGGCAAGAGACGAACAGAGGTGGTTTGCCGTTGCCTTCCTCTGCACAGCAACCCTGGATGTTCTTGGTGGCTCTCCCATCCAAGTACTAACCAGGAAGCTGCTCGACTTCCAAGATCCAACAAGACCAGGCTAGCCTATCTGAAGAAGTGTGCGTGCCCACGAAAGCTTATATCCGGAATTAAACTTTGTTGGTCTTAAAGGTGCCACTGGACTCAAACTTTGTTCTGTGATATACAGTAGGGTTCTTCCTGGTCCCCTGTGAGGGTAACTGGCCCAAGGTCACCCTGCACGGTCCATGTCTGTTTGGGCACTGGAACCCACGTCCTCAGGTCAGAATCCAACTTGTTCACTGTACTAGATGTCTGCATTCGCTCCTTGGCACGCAGCCTCACCGGTCCTTTTTGTTGGAAATATGCAATGTTGCAAGGTCTAAAATTCAGTCATTATATAGGGTTAATGTGCTTACCCTGTATGCTATTGTTTAGACTGACCTGGAAGGGAACCTGGCACAGAGCCAATGGGAAGAAAGCCCAGGAAAACTGAAGCGTATTTACTCACAATCATTGGTTAATGCATTCAGGTGATTTCCTTCTAGGGGTCAAGAAGAAGAAGAATCTCCATTGTTGTAGACCAGTGTGGTCAAAGTGTAAAGATGTAGCCTTAGGTGTCTTTGTTGTTTTGTAGATTTCCTGTGAACCCTTCCTTTAGAAATAAAGATTTTAACACAGAAAGAAAATGCCTCTTCTCCAGTGAAGCAAAGGTCCATTGCAACCTCTGAATATCTAACTATTTTTTACCAATTTTTCCAACACTTTTCCGCCCCTTCCAGGCGACCCCAACACAGCTCTCCAGGTCTGCCTGATGTGTCTGACCCTGGGCTACTTCCTCTTCGACCTGAGCTGGTGCATCTGTTTTGGCAGCGAGGGCGATCTGATGCTCTTCCACCACATGCTGAGTGTCGCCGGCTTGGTCCTGGTGCTGCTGCTCGGGGAGTCGGCCACCGAGATCAACGCCGTCCTCTTCGTGAGCGAGATCACCAACCCGCTGCTGCAGGCGCGCTGGTTCCTGCGGGAGATGGGCCGCTACCCCAGCCTTGCGGGTGACATGGTGGACTTCCTCTTTGTTGCACTTTTCGTGGTGCTGCGGATCGTCGGAGGAGCCTGGATCATGTGCGTGGTCATGGCTTCGACACGGACCATCTGGGTGCTGAAGATGGGGGTCCTGGCGATGTACCTTGTGTCCTTGGGATTTATGCTGGACATCAGCCGGTTTGCCAGGAAGAAAGTGATGAAGAAATATTCTGCTTGGAAAACAGGGAGAGAGCTGCCAAAGAGCAACAGACATTTGCCCATGTGTTAACCTGGACTTCAAGGGCACAGTGTTGCCCAGCCTAGCAATAGTCGCATGAAATCCCATGAGGAATCTTTAGACACACAGTTTGGAGGTCCCGTTTTAATTCTAGATGGGCATTCTCCTTGAAGGAGAGTCAAAAGGGGCCAAGGAATAAGTTAGCGCAGGAGAAAAGGGTTAGACCCAGAAACTGTTAGGTCAACAGATGGGTAGATGCCCAAACTCATCCTCGTCAACTAATTTCCAAGATGGATCAAAGGGAAAAACCAGAGCGAGAGCTGGTTTAGGGCAATTCACTCTGGTGCCAGCGAGGACACCGGGTACAGAGAGAGGGTCACTGCACCCAGTTCCTGGAGCCAGGAGAAGATTCTGCTTTATCGTCCAATCAAGGACACAAAGTCAGGGTGCTGGGACTGATATCTGGCCTGGATGATGGCAGAGGCTTTTTAGTGGTTGCCCCACTCAGGGCCTGACGCTGGGCAGCTCTGTCCTTTGAGAAGGGTCTCTCTTTAGGTTGCGCCTGGCCTTGGACCACATGGTGACAGATTCACGGCTTCTATCCCTTGGCAGGAACCAGGGGTCATTTCCTGCAGGAGTGCACAGGAGCAGAGCTCCAGCAGTAAAGAGCCCAGGGGGCGGGCACATACAACAAGCCCCACCCCCTGCTCCCAGCAGCCCTCAGTCAGAGCAAGAAGCGGCCAGGTAAGTTACAGAGCCCTCCCACTGCCCGCCCCCTGGTCCAAAACAGTCCAGTGGCACCTTTAAGACCAAGTTTTATTCAGATACAAGCTCTCCCTCCTTTGCGAGGGCAGATCTGCACACTCCCCCCCCCCCCCCAATAGCTAGCAATCCAAAACAGTCCAGTGGAGCCTGAGCGGTGGGTGTTGCCTTCTGACACACTTCCGGTGATGTCAGGGGGTGTGGCATATGCAAATGAGTTATGCTAATGAGTTATGCTAATGAGCTCCTGCACCTCTTTTTCTACGAAATGACCCCTGGCAGGAACCATACAGGCCAGTTGAAAAGCACCTGTCCAAAGAGGTGGAGCTGACTCAGGCCAAGCTGGAGGAGGAGAAAAGGACTCCAGGTGGCAAATATGTTGTCCAGACCTGAGTGCTTCCTCAAGGGTGCGCGTATATGTTCTGGCCAGCCGGAGCAGTCCAGCAAGGAGGCTCCTCCAAGTCTGAAACAGATCAGAAAGGCAGGATAGTTTGAGAAGCTTTGGGGGGAGGATCCTGGCCGCCCCCCCCCCCCAGATACATCGTGGACAGGTTTGCATGGTCTATCTTGTCACCTTGGTGAAGTCAACAGACAGCGCCCAAATATGGGCCTTGCCTCGGCCACAGATGACGTTTGCAAAAGAATGAGCCCAGTATGGATATCCCAGGACTGTACATCCTGATCTCCAGCGATCTCCAAGATCTGCAACCAAGAGGGCTGCAGCCAACCAACCAACCAACCATGCGTGAAGTTTATTTATTTTATTTATTTTACTTTTTGGATTTATAGCCCGTCCTCCCCTTGATGGGCTCAGGGCGGCTTCCAACAAGAAAACACAGTACAATTAAAACAATTTAAAACACTGTTTACATTTTAAAATACAATGCCGCATCCCATAATACAACTCTAATAAGAACCATATGTCTCCGAGGTTAATGATGTTGAATCTAAGTTCTTGCATGGAGATCCTCAAAATTTAGGCTCTCAAAGGACCCAGGCTACTGATGGAGGAACCCAAGGAGGGGGCTGCCCGCTGCTTCAACCAAAGGCCTGGAGGAAGAGCCCAGTCTTGCAGGCCCTGTAGTAAGTTTACCCTGGAACTACAGCTAAGTCTCCTAGAAATAAGACATGAAACTGCCTTAATCGGACCACTGGTCCCTCAAGGTCAGTATTGTCTACTCAGACTGGCTCTCCAAGATCTCAGACTGAGGTCTTTCCTATTGCCTGGGCCTTTTAACTGCAGATGCCGTTTGAACCTGGGACTTTTTGCATGACAAGCAGATGCTCTACCACTGACCCACGACTCTCCCCCCCCCCTGGGTCTGATTTCACATGAGCTACTTTCAGCATGGGACATTCTAAATTTGCCAGCGTTTGAATGTATGTGTGCAAATGAATGTCCCCGCCGTTCCAGAGACAGCCGTTGCCTCCCCCATCGTTTCTACAACTATCGCTGTGGTTCATTCCACATCGAGTGGGACTCCCCAGCCACGCAGAAGCAAAAGGGTTGTCTACATTCACCGATCTGCTCTTCAAAGGACATCAGCTTTCAGCCGAGAAGCCGTGCAGCAGCTGTCTCAAAAAGGGACCAATTCCCTCCGCGAGATGTCTCCAGGCAACGCGGGTGTGTCTCACTCTCGCCTGGCAACGGTTTCCAGGCTGGGGAGGGGAAAAGGTTGCAGACTGTCTGTTGAGTTCAGGATGCCGTTCCTGGGGGGGGGGGCTATGACATCATCACGTGCCACATGTAGCACCCAGAACTCTCTGTTGCATTCAGGCCCATAAGGCTGCCTGCTCTGGGTTGGGAAATTCCTGGAGATTTTGGGGGTGGAGCCTGGGGAGGGCGGGGTTTGGGGACCTCAGAGGGACCTCAGCGGGGGACAGTGCCATAGAGCCCACCCTCCAAAGCAGCCATTTTCTTCAGGGGAACCGACCTCTGCAGTCTGGAGATCAATTGTAATAGCAGGAGATCTCCATGTGCCACCGGGAGGTTGGCAACCCATGTTCAGGGGGATAGTTTCTCCAATCTTGCCCTGCTGCAGAAAGTTGCCTCTTGATCTCCCAGGGGCTGCCTCTCATTGGCAGGATGCGCCACGCCGGAGTCTGCCTGTAGTTCAGATTTCTGCAGGGCTGTAAAGAATTAACTAAGCGAATTCTCCTAGTAAGATGCAGCCATTTCCTCCTTATCTAGAACTCAGGCAGGCAAGTTAGGGGAGAGGTTTAAGAGGGGGGAAAGGGGGTCTTGCCAAAGAGAGGTATAATTTGCCACAAGAACATCCTGTTCTAAGAATCATTCCCCATTCCCAGGTATGAGCCTCACTGGTGGACCTCCTGATGGCCCCTGGGTTTTGGCCACTGTGTGACACAGAGTGTTGGACTGGATGGGACATTGGCCTGATCCAACATGGTTTCTCTTATGTTCTTAAGGGCAGAGGACCATGAGTGGCTATTGGACACAAGGTATAGTTGGAATGGAACAAGGATGCTCTGTATTCTTGGTGCCTGAAGGGTGATAAAGGGAGGACTTCTGGAGTTCTGGCTCCACTGGTGGACCTCCTGATGGCACCTGGTATTTTTGGCCACTGTGTGACAAAGAGTGTTGGACTGGATGGGCCTTTGGCCTGATCCAACACTGGCTTCTCTTCTGTTCTTATGTGAAGAGGTAGGAAGCCAGGGATCGCTTAAGGAGCATTCTCACCATACTTGGAATGTTGAGATCTTTCCTTCCCCCCCCCCCCAATTTCCCATCCAGGATTCTATCATCTCTCAGGGCTTCGGCAGGCAGATTCCTTTTCCCCTGTGATTCTCAACTGCTCTTAACCTGCCAGTACTCCTATAGCTTGCTCAGTCCATGAAGGGGGGGCGGATCCCTGCTGCTTAACTGACAAACTCAGATTTTTATGCAAACCTGGTGGTGGATGCCCTGACTAAGCAGAAACCTTGCCTGTGGGTAGCCCAATTTCGTCGCTTTCGTGATTGACACGACCCTCCCGTTTTGCTACTAGGTCTAGCGAACGGGGTGAAGATGTTTTGGAGGGGAGGGAGGACAAGGCACAATTCCTGCCCTTCCCCGGTACCTAAATGGTCTCATTTCAACATGAAGCCTTGGTCTCATTTCAACATGAAGACAGAGAATGCTGTCCCTGCACCTCTCTGTGTGTAGGACTTTAGCTTCTGTAAGGCGAGAGCAGAGGTCATTTCGGGGGGGAACGCGAGGGAACACAGTTCCCCCGGGTGAGGTACGGGGGGGGGCACATGACAAAGCCCTGCCCCCTGCTTCCGGCCGCCCCGCTTCCGGCCCTCATTCAGCCAGGAGGAGGCAGGAGAAGAGGGAGGGTAAGTTGCTTCCTCCCTGCCTCTCCCCACCCCTGCCTGCCTGGGGCCAGGGAGGGCCTTCACAGGGCTTCCTTGCACCCCCGCCGGCCTTGCAGGTCCACCGCCGGGCCCCTCATGGGGCTCAGCAGTGGAGCTGCAAGGCCGGCAGCGGTGACCGGGACCGTTGGGGGCGGGGTGTGTGGCCTTATGACACATTTCCAGTGATGTCAGGAGGTGTGGCCTTATGACACACTTCCGGTGATGTCAGGGGGTGTGGCATATGCTAATGAGTTATGCTAATGAGTTACCCTAGCTCTTTTTCTACGAAATGACCCCTGGGCGAGAGGCCTCCGTCACCCTTACCCCTGGTCCTGTTACCTCTGCCAGTATTATGGTCTGAAGATGGCAGTTGTGGGGCTTGAAGTAAAGTGACTTGCCTAAGGCCGTTGAGAAGAATCCGTGGCAGACGCGAGATGTATGTATGTACATATGAATGAATGACTGTATGTTTATTACGTATGCTATTACTACCGTCCCGCCATCGTAACCATGTTGTGTTTTATGCAGATATTTATATTGTTTATATTGTTGTTTTATCCATTGCAATTTTATGTAAGCGGCCCTGAGCCTGCGTTGGCAGGGAAGGCAAGGCACAAATCAATAAATAACAAGATCGGAACCCAGCACTCAGCCACTACGCCATCACTGCAAGATGATGAGAACCATGTGCTTTTTGATTGTTTGTGTGTGTTTGTGTTCTATTTATTTATTTATACAAACCCCCCTTCCTCCTTTCCAGCTTTCCTTGTTTCACGAAGCTTGGTGCATGTGGCAAGAGTTTGGGTTTTTTTTATTTTTTAAGAAAATCACAAAACAAGCAATAAATTGTTCCGGGAGCTCATCGAAAAAGAAACCCCCAGTCTTAGCTGCCTTTGGGAGGCAGGGCAACGGAGAAAGCAGATGTATGGGCAGTT